AGAGGTGGTTATTTTATTCCTTTTTGTCAGCCAGGAATCTGAAACACTCGCCAACTTGTCCTTTGCTTTTCCTGACACATAACACGACCTCTGCCCCCATTAAGGTCGCGGCGGTTTCTCAGTTCCTGGCCTCTCTCTGTGTGAAACCCTCGTCTCCACGCTCCCATGACGGCAAACGTGAAAACAGCGCCAGCAGTGACAACACCGTGACCCCGAGGAGCAGCATGTGGATCACGGTCTCTGGGAAACAACAGGTGACATCTTGGAAGGTCACCAGGAACATCACTCTGGCATCTGACTGCCAAACAAACAAGTCCTTCTAGCGAACCGCTCGGCCACATCAAAGTTCCCTTTAAACTCGCTCAAATGCTTAATTACCAAGATGGTCTACATCAGAACTGCTGAGGAGAACCCGGCGTGCAGGTCTGAGTGTTAATCACAGCCGGCTCGGTAGGTGAGTCACTTTTGAAACACGACTCTGGTGGTAATCAGCGACATCCGGACACCGCGTTAGTCACTTGGTTCATGTTCAAAATCATGTTTACAAGTATGTAAATGTTTATGAATGCACGTATGCATGCTACTTGGGGCTTCTTCACAGATGTTTGGGCTTTAAAAAAAGAGCCATATAGCTTCCTAGAGAGCATCCTCGCTGATCGAGTTACAATAAACCTTTCGAGATAAGATTACACGAAAATAAGCCAACAGATCTGGGCACTCCTGCAGAGAGCAACAAAAGGAAGTGCCTCCTAACCATGTTCTAGCAGGAGCGAGTTGGTTTAGAAAACTTTTCAGAGATGTGAAGTGACTGGCTAATTTAGTGATTCCTCACAGACTCAAGTTCTGGCATGGCCAATATTTTGATATTGTCAGTGAGACCCTGTGGCTGTATTTCTATTAAAGGAGAAGTGCTCTCTTCCTGAAATTGTCTGCATCCATCATTTATCTCTCTGCCCTGTAGCCAGCAGGGAAAGCTCCTGTAAACAAACAAGGGAGATAGAACACCGACACTCCACCTTCAAACCTGGTGTTTACCGCCAGCTGTATATCCTTCACTGGTTCTGTTTAAAAATATCCCCCCGTATACAAACAAGCGCGGCTGTGTGTGCATGAGCCGTGAGCGTGCGCCGTGCATGAGGGAAAGAATCGAAATTAGACGCAGGGGAAAAAGAAAACATCAACAATCGTGGAAATCATGTTTGAGCACATTCGTAAACAGCCTGTGACGTGGCAATCAACCAGACCGGCGCTCATGTGGGGTCAGACTTTCAGGCAGAGCGACAAAGTTGAGTCGTAATCACGGAGAGCGGCGGTAACGAGGGATCAGCAGAGCCGAGGCCTCGTGATGCTGCGGTGCCGTGACTGTTTATGTAGCGGAGGACACGTCTAGAGAGGGAAGAGTGTCTAAAAGCCTCAGACCTGATCGGGACAAAGGTCAAGATTGCAAAGCTGGACTTTAAAGTGTGTGTTTGAGAAAGTGTATAAAACACTAAATAACAGATTGGGAAACGTCCTCGCGAGCTTGCGTTCGGTTCAACTTTCCAAGACAACACTCGGGGCATTTCAGAGGCCACAATAGGGACGGGTAGTGAAGCACGCTGACCACTGGCTGGCTGAGTCACTTTGGGACTGTGCACCACCCACCGACCTTTCAGAACAGAGATACGCTTGCTTTCATAACCACAGAAGGCGAGTGAAAAGGTTTCGCATCCCTTCCAGCTGTAAGTGTGCGGGTTACACAAAGAAACCGGCTGCTGGACCGACAGATGTAAAAGCTCCCAGAGGATGAGTGTCCAGAGTTGAGTTTCCCTCTCGGATACACAAAATGGACAGAGCATGGGGAGGGCTTCCTGCTGCCTGTCCTATAAAGTCCAGGGTATTACCGTCTATGCTAAACGTCTCAGCTGCCTTTTATTGGTTTTAAATACCGGCTGTCAGGTAGTAAGTCAGACGTTTAAGAGCAGTCGTAACTCGATAATCCGACACTAAACGTAAAACCTTCTTTTGTGTCGGATAGCGAGGCTGTCGGATTGCTAAGGGTCGGATTACTGAGTCACGATAATATAACAAGTATTGGAGTCGCTGTTTTTGGAAAATGTTGCCTAAATTCACAGAACACACAGAGCTGCCCTCATGTCTTTATGTTCTTCTGTCTTCGCTGGTTGTGAGTCAGACACAATGCAGATAGGATCAATCTTTTAACAGGACTTCACTTCCTTTCATGTTGTTTCCAGGACTTCAAATCCACCTGACAACAGACACCGTTGCCCTGGAAACACAAGGCTTCTTCTTTTTTGGGTCTTATCGAAAAAGGTAATAATGTCCTTCCCTGTTGGTTTTTATGACACATTCACATTTACATGGAACTCACTAATTGTCTGCAGCTACGTGTGTCCTCCCAAAGCGACGCTGTTTATTAAATACAAATTTTAACGGCCTTTCCACCGATGGGCACAAAAACGCGACGGCAATTTCGGATAGTTAAGTCAAATTATCATTTAAATCGCTGCAAGATGTGCTGCTTAATATACACCGCTGTCAAACGATAGCACGCTCCGAACATGTCTGCTTGAATGCTAACAACACCCGACGCCGCCGAGGAACAATAGCTGGCACTAATGAACAGCACATCTGACCCGCAGAGCTCACAAACAGCTGGTTGAGCAACTGACCAGCGTTTCCGTTCCTGGAGCCCAGAGTCTGAAAGCTAAAACGTTGTCGGGGGTCTTTGAGGAATGTTTCTCAAACACTAAAGTCTTGTTGCAGGATTTCACACTGATGTTTGCACCTATAGCCGAGTCTCAACACCTGCAGGCATCTCCGTGACATCCCCGTGCAGTTGTTTGGCCGACAGATCAAGGGTTATGTGTAAATTAATGAGGAGAAAGCCTGAACAAGCATATTACAGAATAACTTCCTGTATAGATTCACCGCTCCTTTCAGGTTCCTCCTGCAGGTTAAACGTCTCCTTTGTGCTCCAGCTGGATATTTAAAGTGGAGCAAACATCAGCACCACACTATGTTCATGCTAATCTGTTCTGTACAAGACGTTTGGCTCCTTTGTTTGTTTCACGCTGAGCCAAACAGTCACTGTCAGAACCACAGTCCCAGAACCAGAATTCTAGAGCTCGACCTGAAACATCCCAAACCTCGACTCCAAAGCCGACATTCATACCCAGCTGTGAAATCCGTGCATCCTGAATTCATGTGACACTAAATCAAACGCTGCACATGCACACTGCCTATCTGGAGGTCAAACACGGGTCTGTGCACATCTGTCCATTCTCTTCTCCCATACTATCATCAAGGCTCAGACCAAAATGATTTTTCTTTCTTTCTTTCTTTCTTTGTGCCTTGATTATTAACCCATGAGAAACATTCCTCCTTCCTCAGCAGATCAAAGAGAGCCGAGCGGGACGCCAGAGGCCAGATCAATTATCCCAACCAGCCATTTCCACTGTCCTCTCCCTCCGACGCACCGGAGAAATCTGGGCCCGATCAGAGGCTGAAGGGGCCATCAGCCAGCCAAGCAGGCCATTTTCCTCCATTTTACTTTACAGTTACCTTCCACTGCTCATTTTCTTTTCCCCAGTCATTATCCCTTTTATCCTTTTTCACTTTGTCCTTTCCATCGATTTTTTTTTTCCCTTCTTGTACTTTAATCCAAGTTCACACCGCTGCTTAGCTTCAGCTCGCCATCCTGTGCCCTTTTCATTCATTATTGTGACTGTACGGCGCTTTCCTCTTCAGCTTCTATCCCCGCTCACGACTGTATCTTGACAAATGTCACCTTGTAAAAACTCCAGCTGGCAGTCGGTCCCTGAAAGTCCCACAGCTGTGCAGGAAAACACAGTGGACTTCCCCGGTCCAGTGTTTTCTGATTGAACAGAACAATCACAGTTCTGCCTGTGTAGTCGGCCAGAACAACCCACAGTTATGTTGACAGATATTGCAGTTACCATACAAGTCGGTTTAAGTGTGAACGGTCACTTTTGCTTTTCTCTCTGCAGTCTGCACCAAACACTCATGTTCCCTAACTTCTGGAGGACATGATCTGTGGGCTGTGCAGCACCACAACGTTTTACCTCTGTGTGCGAAACCACTCAACACTTTCTCATGTTTGTTTCTGGCATTTTCTGATTTTCAAAACCCCCACCGGTGATTCGTGATCATCAACGAGGTAAATGACCAAAGACAAACAGAGCAAACAGGCTAAAAATGAACAGCTGGCATGTTCCTTTAAATGTGAATGCCCTTATTCTAATAATTCTAGGAGGTACTTCTATTAAGCGCTGCCTTTGTCCTGGAGCTGAGTGGACTCGAAATAATCTCAGTCAGAGAGATACTAGAGAATGAAAATGATTATGAGAGGCTTTTTCTTTTTTATGAGATTGGATATAAAGGACACATTAAAAAGCTGTCGTCTGTAAAGGTGTAAAAGATAAGAGAGAGAGCGTTCTAATATTTAGTATGCCCTTTGTGATTAGGAGGCAATTTATGAGCCGTCATTTAAAAGAGGAATTAAACATTTTCCCAGAGGACACACGGAAGATTTGGTAAGAAAAAAATACTTGTTAGTGGTTGTCAGCTGGCCTCTCACCATCTAAAACACACACAGCAGAGATGTGTGTTGTCCTCATAACCTCTTTACAGAAACGGCTCACACGTCCACACACAGGAATGTACAGAATGTGATCAGAGCTGGAATAACTATGCTTTGCTAAAAAAAACTCAGATATTTAAACACAGTTGGACACCCAGAGAAGCAGAACTCCTCTGCTGGGTGCTGGTCAGACTCACACACACTGTGAAGGAAAGAATGCTGAGATGAAGAGAAAAATATAAGAGTGGAATTTACTTCTCCATTTGGATCGGCGTGGAGTTAAACACCCACTCAGAGTGTTACAGGCTTTCCTGCATGTCTGAGTAATGGTCTCTGTTTGTTTCAGTTCATAAATTTTAACAGCAACTCCTGAACAATAATCTAAATGTGTGCTCACCAGCTTCTCCTTGTAGACCATCTGTCTGAGCCACTTGAAGTCCAGCGGTTTGAAAGCAGAAAAAACAAAAAGCGAGTCTTTCTCGTAGTTTTCGGGCTTCTGGATGGCTCCCTCCGGATAGGTTATCCTCATGGTGGTTTTGGTCCCTACGTCTTTGCCGTAACCCTTCACAGGAGCTTCATTCAACCTGCCAGCGCATAAGAAGACGTCAAGTAAGAAGAGCTCAGGGTTCACAAGTTAAGCACCTGGAGTTTTACTTTTTTCACACTGTAAAAAGCAGCTGTCTTTATAATCTGACAATGATTTATTTTAAAAATTGAAACAAGAAAACACAACCCTGCAGCAAAGATTTTTTTTTTAAAAAGTCTTCTTAAAATGTTAATGCTGTTACGGTTTCTATAAACTTAAAAGAAAAACTTAACATAAAATGTGTACGGGCAGCCTTGCAGTTAAATCTCAGCGCTTCAATAACTTGTTCAGCCTTCAGCTGTTTGTCAGGTCCAGAAGTTTCATCAAGAATCTTTGCCCTAAATTAAACAAAGTAGTGTCTGCAAAGGAGGGACCGGCAATAAAATAACATCAAATCTAATCTAGACAGCAACTGTCTGAAATCTCGTTAAGAAATTCAGCCGAGTGGAACAACTGTGAAGGTCTAACTCTAGAAGTTCAGAGAAAACTTTCAGATAAAACTGCCATTTAGCAAAAAGGCAAAAAGGCTGAAACCCCCCACAGGAGCAATGGTGCACGGCTCCACTGTGCTGCTCCAAGTATAAGAAAGAGTCATTAGGAAGAAACCTCATCACTAGAGGCAACATCTGAAGTCTGCAAAACAACATCTGAATACATGTCATCTTCAGAACAAGGGTTGTGGACCGATGAGGTCTTTGGCCACTTTCCCCAAAGGTTTGCTTGGAGAACAAGAGGAGCAGCTTCAGATGAAGCCTACGAGCACATGTGGGGCTGGAAATGTTCGACTTTCTCAGGTCTCAGGGTATTCACTAAAACGGATCTACGATTTCCAAAATAACATCGTTCACACCAGATCGGTTTCAAAAACATCTTCATCAACACAAACCTGCATAAACACGTCAATAAGAGCTGCTATGAGCTGCCAGACCTACAGGGGGCAGTGTAACCAGAAGCATAAAGCCATGCTAGCCAATCAGAATCCTGGAAAAAAAACAACAACGAAAACGTCCTGTTACTTCAACGCTAACGGTGCGAGGTATGTTTGTTTGGACCGACAGAGAAGTGGAGCTGCTCCTACATGTGGTGTTAGAGACACAACAAGGAAAACACTAGAAAACACTGACTTTCTATCACAGCAGCCAGACTGTAAACATGGTCGCACACATGTGACGCTTTAGTCGCTCACTGTGCCGTCAGACTCCTCCTCCTCATGTCTACATGCAGACGTAAAGACGGAGGTTTTCCAGATCTCCACTGTGGCCGGACTTTTCAGATCTGATGGTTTTGGTGACTCGTAGCTTCGTCTACGTGTAAACCAAAGGCTCACTGAGGTATCACCGTTTCTGCTGCGTGTAAACGGGGCCTCAGTGGCACAAGAAGCAAAATGTCATGCAGTCAGTAAAGGAAGTGAAACAGAGAAGACGCTGGCTTCTACGACACAACAGCGATCCAAAACACATCTCAGAGTCCAACATTTCATAAGACACAAGCTGAAGCTTTTGGAACAACACTCAGAGATAAATAAGTGTGTGTGAAAGCCTAAAAACATCTAAAAACCTGAAGTGACCGACGGCAAGAGTCAGTGGAAACTCCTAAATATAGAAAAGAAAGCTGTAGCGTCTGTATAAAGGCACATTACTAAGTAGGGACTAAATAAGAGTACAGAGACTTCTGCATTGCCGTTTAATATTTTTATCATTTTTAGAATAAAACACAAGAGCGCATTGACATTTGAAGGAAGCCTCATATTTCATGTCTGTGGGCTGCAGAGGGTGTGCTTACCACCCTCAGCTCCCCACGTTGTACCATTTTGAACAGGAATGAGGAATTTCACACTGAATTCAACTTTTTATACCCAAATCTGAGCCCCTGGGCCTCTCTGAAAAGTCAGAAACATTCAACCACTAAAACCCCAGTAAACAGCTCTGATTTGATGTCTTAATCGAGAGATAATAACACCGTGTTTTATAATTCTTTCAGTTGTTTTGTAAAATAGGACATTTGAAAATTCATGGACAGCAATAATAATTATTCTTTAGAAGTAAAAACATCATTTTGGTTAACGAGCGTCTACATACTGGTGGGTCAACCATTACAGAAACATAGGAAATGATTCTGGTAATTACCAGATCTGTTCATTTAGGGCAGCTGTGGCATAAACCTGACACTGGGTGGAGGTCTAATACGTTTGTTGTTCACCTGAATATGCACTTAAATATGAAATATCAAAAAATGACTGATCCCATCCTGGTCATACCATTCTGCCTTGACTATGACATGGTTTATCCACAGGGACAAAATGCTTTCACATTCTTAATTCCAGTGTCTTATTTCATTACGGTGTCATCTTACCTCACTACGATGTCATATTCGTCTATACGGGAGCCCAGAGACTTGTTGGACAAGATGCCACCGTTGCCCACGATGACGCATCTTTTACAGCTCAGGCTGGAAGGCAGGACAGACACAAGTTAGGCAAGTTAAGGAACCGACGGACAGAAGAAAACAAGTGGACTTCAAGCTGACGTGAGCGGGAGCAGGTGTGGGTACCTGTCGAGCTCCTCTCCGAATCCATAGTTCTTCGTGGCAGTTAGAATGCTGTCTATGATTCTCTCTGCAGGGGAAAACAAAAAGAAAGAACCAGAGTGAGGAGGACAAAGACGCATGAGGTCGCACAAAATTACAGTTTATAAATACAAGAAAGTCTTACATGAGTGTATGAGCTGTGATAAACAGGTGAATTATAATTGATAACGTGTTTCTTGGCAATTAATGGGACCAAGCACTCACTCCTGATGGAGCAGCACGCCAGGCGAACACACTGATCTCGGCCAATGATGAAAACATCTGAAAAGCCCTTTAAAAGATGAACAGACTGCCAAAGATCTGAACATACCGCTGGAGATACAACAGTCTAGGTGGTCCTAAGACAGGAGGAGAGAACACCTCTCTCCGTTTACTCAGCCACAGATAAGGAGTGACCAATCAGCCGCCAGAAACAGCGGCGATGAGATTATGGAGGGAAAAAAGCTGTTGTGAATCTGGGCGAAACAGACACGCCGAGTTCAGGACGGTATGCATGTGTGTGTGTAGAAGCTCTCCCATAAAAGCACTCAGAGAGGAATGCTGTTTTCAAACAAGCACATTCTCCTGGTGAAGTGGGCGATGGCGAGCCGGGCTGATCGCAGGGTGAGAAACGGTAATGTTTAGCCATAGCGTGCATTCCTGCCACGTCCGTCTGGGCATTCTGCAGGAGTGATGCATTCAGCGTTAGATACTACATATATTTCTCTCTCCGCTTTGCTATTTTAAGGCCTCTACAAGTTGAAAATCATCTTGTGTAACACCTCAGACCTGCCTATGCCGTCACATTCCCAACTGTCTTCTATTCATGTTGTACAGTCGTGACTTGATAATCCGACACTAAATGTAAAACCTTCTTTTATGTCGGATAGCAAGGCTGTCGGATTGTCCAGACGGAGGTCGAGATACAAGGAGGGCTTGATGCTGGAAGGCTCATTAGTTGTTAATTATTGTTCATAGTTGTTATAATAACCAGTGTGTTGTTAGAACACTACGCATCGCTGGATTTCAGCCTAACTGACCGGTGCACTGGTGCACATTCCAGCCACTTCCACCCCGGGGCAGCACTCTGACGGGGTGGAAGTGTCCAGAACACACAGGCAGTACTTGGCTGCTGATGCTAGTTTAGTTAGTGCTCACACTTCTGTTTCCACCATCGGTGGCGGCGGGGGAGTGGCAGATACGCTCCACTGTTACCATCCATGTTTACTTCTGTAAACACTGAGCACGCATGTCGGAGTCAGAATCCAAGGCTGTCGCTATGTTAAGGCTGTTTTTATGGGCTCTGTTGGTTTTTCCTAAAAACCTGTCGGACGGCAAGGTTCTGGATTGTTAAGGGTCGGACTATCGAGTCATGACTGTATTTGTAATAATGCTGACCATAGAAGGACAAGATGGATTTAACTATTATAATCCTACAAAACATTTCCTTTTTTTGGATCCTACATAACAGTCAGCCGACTTCGCATTGTTAGAATATGTCGGGCATTTCCACTGCCTTCTATTTCACTTAATACAATCACCGTACAGCACGCTGGCCACAAAGAGGGGCCAAGAGCAACAATAAAAGTGAGAGTGAGAAGGCGAGAGTTTAGACTGGGGCCTCGAAGCAGTTTGTAAGACATATTATAGCCCATTCACCCTTGCTAACGATCCTAATGATTAACCTGCCGCGGAGAGGCGAGCGGAGCCGCGGCCCATTGTTTGGATGTGGTGTCGATGTCTGGCGTCAAGCATCACCCGCGAGCAGCATAAACACAAGGCCGAGGACCACACCTGGATCCGAGCGGGGGGAAAGTGAAAAATCACAATGGGCAGTGCTCTCTTCCAGAGAACGACATGGAAGCTAATTGTTATAAGGACCCGGGGTAAACACTTCAGCAAAGTATGTCTCGTGGTGGAGCCCAAGACGAATGGGCGTACCTTCAGACATTAATCCAGCTCGGAACTCTTGAAATGACAAAAATCTTTTACTGGCAACACAGAGGAACGGCAGGAGCATCACATAACACATAAACACAGACACATTGTTGGAGAGAGCGTAGTCTAAACAATATAAAGGATCTCGTGATGAGAGAATGGCATTTCTTAGACCTGCTCTTAAAATGGCTTTTGACTCAACATGAGCTGCCGTGGCGACCAAGACAAAAGTCAATAATCTATTGCGGCACGATGATGACTAATGTATTAAGGATATTTGAGCAATCTTCAAACAATCACACTGCCGAGGGCCGACCATTGTGGACTCCAGTTCTGAAGTGTGTTCAAGTATTTGGCGCCAGTTCGCTTTGTCTTTCTGGCTGAATCATGTTTCCTCATCACGATGTGTAAAGTTGCGTAACAGTCTGTGTGCCTTCATGTGGTAGGCACGCCGGGAATGAAAACAGCTGTGATATCATTCATGTATTAGTGAAACTTTTAAATTAGCCGATGAGGACGCAACGTCAGGAATTTGTTGCGAAGGTTGCAAACTATGTGGACGTTCAAGGTCTGACACATGACTGTGTCTATAAAAAGCTTTGTTGACTTCATTAGACCAAGATCGTCACAGCAGGTCAGTGACCGCTAGGATGCTACATCTAAAGATAAAGTTAGCCATCGTCTGTCTTCCCACCAGGTTTTCATCCAACCATCCATCCATCCATCCATCCATCCATCATCTCTACACCTTAATCCTCACTAGGGTCATGGGGGGCTGGAGTCTATCCCAGCTGACTCAGGGTGAAGGCAGGTTCACCTGGACAGGTAACCAGTCTATCACAGGGCTACACTTAGAGACAGACAACCAAGCACACTCACTTTCACACCTACGGACAATTTAGAATCATCAATTAACCTCAGCATGTCTCTGGACTGTGGGAGGAAGCCGGAGAACCCGGAGAGAACCCACGCTGCACGGGGGGGGAGCATGGAGACTCTACGCAGAAAGATCCTGGGTGTCCTCGCCGGGGCACCAACCAGCAACCTTCTTGCTGTGAGGCAACGGTGCTAACCACCGAGCCACCGTGCAGCCCCCCAAAGGTTTCCCAAATACACAAATCTAACACACAAGAAGAGGAATTTATAAACCTGCTGTTCACACACCTTCCAAGCAGTTCAATTGAAGCTACAGCAGGTGGAAACAGTATTTTTTCTGTCAGCCTCGCAAAGATGGAAAAACAGGAGGAGGCTGATGAAACACGACTACTTTAGGCATTAAAACATGTTCCTACCAGTACGGGGAAAATTGCTCACTTGGGACTACAAAAACACTTTATTTAAAAAGAGTACCATTTAATTTACTGTGAAACTAAAACGATGCAACACACAGTCTAACCGATCACACATCGGTAGCCGGCCGGCATCCTGCACCACTGCCAGTGCAGCTTCTCCCTGAGACGGTATCAGTGCAGCTCTGCAGTGCCAAAGACACCTCTTGGCAAAATAAAACTAAAAATAAAACTCGCCCCCAGCACTACTCCGTGCTCTCAATTTGGAATCCTTTGTGGCGTTCTATTCAAGATCCACACGTATCATCTCTCCACATGAGTACCGCTAAAAGGGAAACCCCGCTGCCATCACAGGCCGTGGAGAAAACAGAAACCAGGTGTAACGCTCACACCGGCAGCGCTCCTTTCATAGCGGCGGTGTGTGTGTTCGGATGACAGTTGAGGACTTGCCGGGGCACAAAGGTAACATTCACTGTGCCTTCTGCTTCCAAGTATTGGAAAATATGTGACAGAGCATGTCAATGAAGCCAGATTAATGTTATCTCTCCAGTTCCCATGGTGCTGTGTGCCGGTTCGATATCTGAAGTGCTGGAGTGTGTTAAGGTCAGGGAACAAGCACAAGCACTGTTTGTGGAGTGTTGGGAGACATGAAGTTCCCTGGGCCCAGAATAGAAGTCATCCAGCAAACAAATATGCATCACTTACAGCTACAGAGGCCCAGACTGTCAAATAAAGATGACAAAACATTAATCATCTTGTGGGTGTGGTACAATAAGCGTATCACAGGGTTATGAAGGCAGAAAAACTACTACAGCGGTCTGTTACGTTCACAACTCCAGCAGCAGAATGGATCAGATGTTGACATTAATAATGAACAGTTGTAGCTTCACTGACTTCAAAATAATGATGGATTGATTTAATCAAAGTGCTAATATATTATGATTCAAAGTTTCCCCTGGAAGACGAGGTGATCAGATGCAAGCTGAAGTAGCGCCAGCATCTGCTACGTGTGCATGTGCATCCGTCACACTGCAGGAAGAGCAATCTGAAGTAATGCAACTCAAGCATATCATGTTAGAACTCTGCTTTCTGCTCGATACGCTTCTTCTTCTCCGTGACTAATCCACAAGTAAAGTCCATCTGAAAGAACATAATTTACTTAAATTTAGGGGCTCTTGGATGCAGGCTCTGTACGTGCACAGAGGAGCGACGTCGTCAGAAACAACTGGAAGGATGATCTGGCTGCAAAAACAAATGCAAGATCAGAAAGCAGGACGCTGACCAAAAGCAGAGACTCTGTCAGCAGCGTTTTGGACCTCAATACAAATTTATTCATTTGACCATTTAAATCAGAACCGCCAAGCCAGATCTGGATACCATCTAAAGCAAAGACAAACCCTAATTTGGATGCCTCTGACGGCGTTACATCACAGGAGAATCGTTCCAAATGGCAGAGCGAAACTAATGATGCAATAACTCTTCCCCTTACGAGAGACGTGACACCGATTCATACGGTTACCGAGGAGGGTTTTAAAAACACGACCCTGTGGCTTGACAAGCAGTCGGGCACAGCAAGGCCGAAGCTGAAGAAGAGCTGCCGCCAGTGAAATATGATGCAGCTGCAGAGGACTTGTGGCCCGGCTGGCAGCGGAGCCCTGAGTGAGCCTTACAGTCAACTTTATGAGAGGACTTCCAACTAAGAAGTCATTTAATGGCCTTTTTTGTTGATAATCATGTGAGTGAGAACATCAGCATGAGGATGAGAGAGGTGTTTGCTGCTGAGGTTCTCAGTGAGACGTCTGAATAACAACAGACGACGTGGTGAAGACGATAAACCTGAACACGTTCACCAGGCGGCAGCGCTCCGACAGCCAAAAATCTGGAAATTCATTAACTTACCACTAAAGCTGAATTGTTCTGCTGATGATTTCTGTCACTTTAACTGTCAACAACTTCCTAAAAATGAGAACTTACATGTTTTCCATTGCTTTCACCTAATCCAAAAAAAGACAGAGGAGGAGAATTAACGAGATTTGTGAATGACTGAGCTTAACGAATCGGGACGCTTTGCCAGATGGGAGTCGGATCAAACATAAAACCAACCGCTGGAAACTACCAAAAATAACAAGAACCAAGCATGGCTGATGTGAGACAGACACGAGGGGATTTCCTGTATTAGAGAGGTTACCGTTCAGTAGCTGCTTCTGACATCTTTAATTGTTTGATAACAAACCGCTCCTGAAGATTTGAAAACAATCGCTGATCGCATTACTGTTTGATGACAGCATAACCGTGGCAACAAGAACACGATGACAGACCTCATGGCATGAGTCCGGAAAAGGCAGAGCAACAAACACATTTAGCCAAAACAAAAACAAAAAAACCCACCACAGGCTAACCAACAATGACCTTAAAAGAAATCATCAAAGAAGTAATTTCCCACACGTCTGAATCGCTGCTCGCACCTCCGACTCTCTCAACAAGCCAATAAGTCATCAGACACGTTGACAGCTTGTTGATTGATCTTACGAGCTTCATCAGTGATGTCATCGGCACATACAGCGCGAGGGAGCCAACTCATGCCAACCGATAAGTAAAGAATGTTGGCAGTCCTCGCTTTTGACTTCAGCACCTTGATTGACCAGGACGTAAAGCTGTCTGACAACAACGCCGTAAATCATCAGAGCTCGTTGGCTTATAGTTAACATACAGGCACTGCCAGCACAGAATCCTGTATCAGGCTCCCACGTGACGTCTAAACTCACATGCTCAACTTTAAACGGCTATTCCACCTACTTTACACGTGTAATTCAGTTTGCTAATCTCAAGGAGAAACTGTAAGAATATCCGTGTGTCTTCGGTTGAGATGATGATATCAACTCCATCTAACATTGTTAACAGAAACCTGCACCACATACTTGGCATAAAGCTGGAGAGAAGCAGGCCTTTAGGAGGCAGCGGGGTCTAATAAAAGATGGAGTTGCATTACTGTTAACCCAGTGAGAGCCTGAACCAGGACGTCTGACCCTCGTCGGTTTTCATCAGTCTCTTACCTCAACGTTATGGAATACTAAAGACTCACCAAATAAAATCCTCATACACCAAACTGAAAAGAGGTTTGGTGGATTTTCAGTGGAGGAGGACTGAGTGTGATGAACGTCTTACCTTGCGTTTTGAAACCAAATGGAGGTAAGTAATTGCTGACTTTCGCTAGACGTTTGAAGTTTCGATCGAGAAACATGGGCGCTGGTTTCATGAACCTGCAAAGGAAGAAGAGAGGAAAAGCAAAACTTTTATTAGTAGAGATAAAGGACAAAACAATGCATCTTAGTGTACCTGTTCCTGTAACCAAGCTCTTCTGTTAGCAACGATTTATTGTGTTTAGAGCCCAACTGATGCTGGATGTTTGGGGTCGATGTATATCCAATAAAATGATAGGGTCGTTGTTTCTTAACTTTCCAGAAGATGTATTTCGATAACTAGTTAGCATCTTAGCAGGAAGACACCGTGTGACTCTGCACCACAGTCAAACGCAAACATGTACTCTGCTACATGTGCTGCACGCAGATTATTGTGAAGGAAGCATGCTCTGCAGGACAAACTGTGTATTTACCCCGAGCATCTTTTTCTGCATTATGTTCTAAAAAGCAAGAACACATTTTGGTTTTTTTGGTTTTTTTTAAATCTAGATCTTTTTTCTTATTTATTTATTTATTTTTCTAAAGTTATTTTTTGGCCTTTGCGCCTTTATTTGATAGTGCAGTGAGAGAGAAAGAGAGAGAGAGAGAGAGAGAGAGACAGGAAAGTGGGGAGAAGATAGAGGGATGACATGTGGCAAAGGGCCATGAGTGGATTTGAACTCATGACCTCCACATCAGGACTGTAGCCCTGCACATGGGACACCAGCTCAACCAGGTGAGCTACAGTGGCGCCCCTAAATCTAGATATTTAAAAAACATACGTTTATCTGACAGGCCAATATCATCCAATCTCTGCATCAGCCAGCCTCTTCTTCTGCTGTGCATTCCCTTTACCGTTACCTTTCCTCCTCTCTGCAGAAGCTCCTGTGGTTTCTCATAATCGCTGCTACACAGTAGTGCTAATGTGCTGGGAAAAGTTTACGTTACACAAAGGTGATAGCAAACTTTGATGGTTCCACTGTCGTTCAAGTAATAACATCTCCACCTCCTGTGCACTGTCAAAGTTTCCCAAAACACAGAGAGGCTGCACACGCCCATCAGCGAAGCAGCTAAAAGCTAAGCAGGTAACAGAAAGCGAGAGACAGCAGAAGGCGGCTGCACTGCATAAGCCATCAACACAAGCTCTCCGCCCAGGCCTAAATCACAGCAGACGCACAGTGTTGATAAACCTGCTGAGACAACACACAGAACGCTGTTTCTCTCAGATGATCTGGAGCACGACTGTGTCTACAAACTGAATTAGTGGAGGGAATTGTTCTCCCAGTTTAGAGAAAACACGCCATAAAACATTAAAGTAGAAAACTGAGGTTTGGCGACAGGACAGAACAGAAACGTTGAGCTTCTCCAGTGAAAAGCCATTTAAAAACCTAATTGAATGTGACATTTAAAAACATGCCTGTGTCCAATGTTTTTAATGCCCCGTGAACTGCTACTTCCAGCATCGCCTCTTCCTTATCCTGTGTGTCTATATAAGTCTGTGTGAACTGTTTTGATTAATAACAGCTCCCAAATCAAAAGAAGCCATTTCCCCTTAGTCACGCCGGCGACCCGAGCGCCGGGCTTCAGGATGGATGTGTGTTTTTATGACCTGCTGTCAAGCTGGCGGGATGAGAGACGGAGACAGACGTTCCAGTTATTCCTATTTTGATGTTTACATGCGTGAAGCTCTGTGGACATACTTGTGCAGACACTGTGAGCATTCTTGTGTCAGACTTGAACGATAGTCAGGACACGCCCACGGTAGAGACAATGCGAGACGCGCTGAGGAGATATGTGGAGCTGGTGTACATTATTTTGTTTATGTTCGAGACATATTGCAGATTGTTGCACGGTCCTCTTTACCAGAACCAGACCACCAGCAGCACAACTGCTGCACCCTGGTGTGTGTGTTTAGCCATAAGGCCTTTATACCCACCCACACACACACACACACACACACACACACACACACACAGACACACACAGACACGTTCCTTCTCAGCAAACATAAATTCTGATTCCCAACAGACCGCCCTTAATATCAAAGGGTTTTAAACTGTGAAATCAAGAGAGGACGTGCGAGGTGCACGATCAGGCTCCTGTGTTCCTCAGCAGGAATCTTGGACAGCTTGTTAACATAACACTGCCATGGGTTCACAAGAAATATGTGGATCTCTGAGACACAATGACCAAACATGGATGCCATTATTGGGAGACCTTCCGGTTAGCTTCAACCTCTTCCAAGCACCGTAATTGGTCTTTGATACCCTCATTATCCTCCAGCTTTAAGGCATGAGAAGCGAGGCAGCCTGAGATGGAGCGGTTATGTATGGCTTTCTCTGCTGCTCACATCACCTGACAGGGGCACACACCCTCAGAGACTCCTGTCCTGCCAAAACAAATGGAGATTCATTAAACCCAAGACTTCTGAGGCCATAAGGGGCTATAAATAACGCAGGACCATTACAAGTCACTGAGGCCTGACCGACAGTCAGTCACTGACATCCTGACCAGGCAGAGAGACAGGGCGCTGCTTGTTGTTAAATACAAAGTGAGGGCTCCCAAAACAGCCACCAGGCAGGGATGCATTGTGCTCATTTCCTCTGCTGGGTCCATCTCTCACAGGCCATATTTTCATAACCGTGCAACTTCAAGTTCACTGCCAGCACTTGATTTAGGGCTCCAATACAAACAGTTTTGGGTAAAGCAGAGGAGAGGGGAGGTGCGTAAAATAAATTGGATTCTGCAGGGCAAGGGGCTTCAGAGAAGACAAACATGGAGGAAGCAGGAGATGATTAGACGGAGCGTTGAAGGACCTCGCTGCTGGAGGTTAAGCAGGTTTTACTCTAACAGCTGAACTGTGGGCCACACCTATTTAGACCAAATGGTAAAGAATACTGTAAGTTGTCTTTCTTTGTTGGGGAGGAACACAAAGCAGCAGAAACTCAAAACTAAGGCGATGCTAAGCGGTTGCCTTAACGATAAATCAAAAGCTCATTGTGTACATTCAACCGTACGCTCACACTCGTGTACAAACACCAACACCAGCGCAGCATTAATTGTGCTCATTGACCTGCGTGTGACTGGGGTGGAGGTGGTGGTAATCAGTGGGCTCCCAGGGGGGCTCTGTGTTGTACAGAACTTTGAACCGACACGTGCGGCTGATTAGAGGAAGTCATTACAAGGGAGGACGTTGTTAACACGTAGCCTCTCATACGGGCCGAGGGTAGCTCCTCAAAACTGCCTTCGTCTATCTCGTTAGGCAGCGCTGCAGTTTACAGGCGGCTGAGGGTTTGGTTTGGAGAAACGTAGAAACACACACAGACAATCAGCGTGCACTGAAAGTCTGCCATATGCTTTCACCGGATCCAGGAAATACTGTCAGAAGATACTGGAACAAAAAAATGACACAGTAGAGGTGTATTAATCAGGAAGGACAATCCAGGTCGATGGCAGGATTGTGTAAAAATCAGGAAAAGAAATAAAAATAAAAAAGTTTAGTAGTGACATCCCACGGTCTGGAGGTCTGAGGCTCATGATCACAGCTCGATCTCCAGCCTGGGGACCTTCTCACTGCCCTGTTTCCTTCCTCTCCACACGTTAATCGTCAGTTAAAAGTAACACAACAAAAATAAGTGAAAAAATTACAACACTTTAAAAAACCTTGTTCGGGATATATTAGAATTGACCGTTGGACAGATTTTCCTCTTCGTCTGAGGTAATTTGTGTTATTGTGCACCTTCGGGCGACACATAAATTGGGTTCAATATTTATGCTTGGAAATGGGCTGTCCCATAACTAGGTCAAGTACTCATTGAAGTGCCACTGGCTATTGTTCAGCAATGCGGAAAATTGCCCTTGCTTAGCTTCAAGAATGCTAATGGGACAATGTCCTATAGATCGAGCTGAGATGTGCAGCAAATAGAGGCCCAGAGAAAAATCAAAAGGACCAATGACATCAAGAGGGCCACGGAGGGCTGTGTGGACTGTGTGGGTCGGGTACCAGAGAGCCCGTGATGAGTCAGGACAGGAAGTCGGTTGGTGTCGCTCATAGAGGACGCCTCTGAGGCTCTGAGATGTGACAGAGGAAAGATGGGAGACCTTGTACTCGGTTGACAACAGTTCTTTTGTCTGACGAAGGGATCACAGGGACAAAGTCGAGTTTTTGTGGTGGGGGAGACGACGGTTGAAACATGATTGAAGCTGGGAAAGATTGCATAGGAATGTGGGGACTTCTCTGTTTCCGACTCAAAACCCTGAAGGCCTAGCTGGCTCGGGGAGTGACATCATGCATCTTGGTATGTTCGAGTAACAGCTTTTCTCCTACGGACGTCCAATTAAAGGGGTTTGTTTGTGAAGTTCCAGACTGTGTACGTGGAGTTCTTACAGGGAGTTGGCCTGCATCGCCACGCTGCTACATGAAGCTACGTGTAAAAGACAGTGCAGTGCTGCTCACTTAGGGTAGATGGTGGTCATCTTGGCTGCTGCGTATCCCGGCTTGCACACGCCTTCGCTGAGGTTGCCATACTTGTATGCCAACTCCGGTGGGCTGCACATTGAAAGAACAGAGGGAGACATCGATCAGACGCGGCATGATAACCGGCTATCAATCACACTGACGAATTCAAAGCCTCACAAAACGAGCTTGTCAAACAATGCGCCTGAGAGATAGGGCCGAGGATTGCTTAGGAAGTCGGAGAGCTCAGCAACAACTCAGAGTATCACCTGTGTGTGGCGAGACAAAGCCGAGAGGCCTTGTTTAAATAATCACATTGGCAGCGCTCAAACTAGAACCTCCCGATTACTAGCACGATCATTAATAATCTGATGAACGCCACGACTCCAGTTCAAATAAACAGGGAGAAGGGAGAGGGGCCCAGGTCTTCACTGCACTATGTGAGGTCCAGAACCAGAGTTGGCAGCAGATACGACTGCTTGCACATAATTTAAAGCGCTTCAATGCTAATAGACGATATTTCAGTCATGTTCAACTACTTGGCCTTAGCTGGCCTCCAGCTGCTAAGTAATTTGGTGGGAATTAAAATCTAGGGGCACTCTTCCATCGGTCAGGCGAGCAGCAAGAATAAACGACCTCAGTCACAAAACTAATTACAAGCTTTAAGATGAATGGCGTGTTTCTGCTCTAATGGTGTAATTAATGGCACTGTAGATATAAAGTAAAGAGCTGTACGACACAAACCAAATCCATGTGAAATCCACCTTAAAGTGTGTGCTGACACGGTGCTTACAGTGTGTGCCGGCTGTGGACAGACGTGCCCTGTGATGGCAGCGTGTGATTACTGCCAGCATGGCGATGCGGGGGCAGACAGAGGACCTCGCCGTGGCAGTTTGGAGCAGAAGTGTCAAACCAATTCAGGGAATTATACACATATCAGCAGAGACGCTGACACAATGACAGCTGCATAATTATCTGCTGCAGCGTGTTCTCGCCCTGACAAACCGCAGCCACTCTGGAATACACGCAAAACACTAACTACACCTCAATTCGCACTAATTTCTAAAATTATTACTCAGACCACCTATCGCATCTGCGCATTTGTCACCATGCGTGTTTGCTGCGCCGCATGTTTATTTAAAAACATCAAGTTAGATTAATCGGCCCAACGTTTACATTTGCGCGTTTCGTTGGTCGACCTGCGTGAGTGAGCGTTTCCTGAAAACAGATGTAAAACATTTTCTGAATTAATGGAGTCAAACAGGCATTCGGCCGCTCTAGAAAAGATCCCACGCAGTACACGACGAAGAACAGTTGCATTAAATGAAATAACTAGAAGGAGATGTACTCACAGTTTTGTGTCCAGCTGCAGCAGAAAGCCCTGCTTATCATACACTGAAAAATAAACAGAAGTGGAGATGATCGATTACCACACAGGTCTGCAAAGCACACGGGTGAACAAAAAAAATCAAATTAAATTGCATCTCTGGCGGCAGCTTTTTAGCGTCATCCAGTCTATGTCACCAACTATCAGCTCAGTAGCTGTAGTTGTAATCGACCTGTGCAGCTCGTACAGGAAAACAATATGGCAAATGTGAAAGTAAAAGCATTAGGATTAAGGATTCATGACAAACAAGCAGGGTTAGGGAGAAGCCAGCCAAAACAATCTGTTGAATTTAAAATAAAGTTAGAAAAGAAGTTAGAGATCACCTATGGACAACCAGAGGGAAAGTCAATAGGTGTCTGGTGAAGCACTGAGGTAGAAGACAGAGAAGCACAGAAAACCAGGAGGAAGATATTTAAGGTGGAATGAGAACTTTATTTTGAAATGTGTCATTTCTGTTGCAGTCTGACGTTTTACAATAACGCTGACAGGGTCACAAAACACTGACTATATTAATGCAGGACTACGAAATGCCTTAACTGCATTAGCATGACAGAGGACTGGGTTTAACACGAGCATTAGTCGAGAGTAGGAATAGTGCAGTATTACGCCTGTGGTGGCGGCTCTTGTCTTCGCAGAGAAGCTGAAGAATAAAGATAAAGAAAAGGACAATGGGAATGTGTGACGACTGATTAGGATCCAAGGCAGTGCCCTGGAGGATGGGAACTTTGCCACAGCAGCCAGGATGAGCGTGTGTGTGTGTGTGTGTGTGTGTGTGTGTGTGTGTGTGTGTTATGTTTGTCGAGAAGCGTAAGGCAGCCAGAGGTCGAAGCAGCTTGAGAGAAATTAACGCCGCAGGTTCATAAAAGCAAGAAAAAAAAAAAAAAAGGTCTCACAGAAATGTTGACAGCATGAGGCACAAAACCTCTGCAGACAGCGATGCCGTTTGTTACTGAGCCAAGACAACAGAGGGCAGTGTTGTACCGCACTGCAGCTCCACATGGAGGATGGTGACTGAGCAGATGTTTAGTTCCTCCTCTACAAAGTACTGCATTACTGTACCTTGAATTCACCTGCGACTCACAAAGCTGGCCGACACTTTTTTTTGGACAAAACTGCTAGCTTTCCAGCACAAATAAAGCTGCTGAAATGTTTTAAAAAGGTTCAGTCATTTACTTAAAAGTGGTGGAGGAACAACAAGGATGGGTAGGGGGTCAGCTGGTGGGGCTGTACCTGAGCCTACTATTCGTCCCACGGTGATGTCCGTTTCCGACTCTGAAACACAAGAGTGTCAGTTAGCACCATTCGATGTCAGTCTGTTACGGCAGCATTGGACTTGAGAGGAAAAACAAAAGCCAACTGCAAATGTCAGACATCACAGAGTAAGAAGAAGAGGAGGAGGAGGAGGAGGAAGAGGAAGAGGAGGAGGAGGAGGAGGAGAAGTTAGTGGCTTTAATCACAGTAGGTGGAATTACCCTTCTGAATCTCAACTATTATTCCAAGACAGAAAGCTCAATGAAGGAGAAAATTAACTGCAAGAAGCCCCTATTATGTTTATTATTATGACACTGAGAGGTACCCATGAAGACAGGATGAGTGGCTGAACTACTTTTGGCAAGACAAAAAAAAAAATCATCATAATAATAATTATGGCACGTAAATGACAGTCAATATGACAGTGAATATGGAAAGCTACCAATGCTCAATTAGCAGAGATTTAAGTCCATGGAAAATAAACATAAAAGTCAACAGCCCAGCCTAGCACCCGCTGCACAACAGTATAACACCCAGCATATACAGGCTGCAGAGTCCCAGTGCCTCTACCTGGTATTCTTTTCACTTCAGCACCTTTAGTCAGGACTACAGTGGTCTCTTCTGCATCCCTCTCTGTAAACAAAAGGGGGTTAACACACTGAAATAAGATCATCGTCAGTGCAGAGCCAACTATGAACCAAACAACTGAAGACCACAGCACTCAGCATAGAGTTTAAAAAAAATAATGGTATCAGCTTCAGCAGGACACAGACAGGGGCTGCACAGAGAAACAGATGCACAGGCAGACGAGGGCACAAAAGAAACCAAAAGTACAAGTTTAATCTTGATCCTCAGATCCACGATCGCAGCAGCAGCAGCAGCAGCGTACACAGACTGTAGCAACAACGCAGCGTGACCCACGGACATACACGTCTCATTACAGACTCAGAAAACACTGACATTTCTTTTTTAAATCCGTGTTTGTCCGACAGACCTGCAGTAAACGGCTGCCTTGTTTATCTTTGCTTTTAAGATTCTGGCGATCGCTGCACATCTCTGTTTTATTTCCCTTTCAGAATAATCTTTATCATTTGTTTAACAGAGCTGCTTAAAACCAAGGACCGCTGATTAACGGGATTTTTCTCCAGACAAGAATAAAAGTCTCTCTATTCAAATTACCAACGGGACAGCTGCTGTGTAATTTCATCCAAATACCAATGATTAAACACAACACAATGACAAAGTCCGCTTCAAAACTCAGAGAGGACATAAAGTGCTTCTTGGACAAAAAGGCAGCAAAAATGTAATTGCTGTATAAAGATATCCTCTGTTATGACTGACTGCTGACAAGGGCTTCTGCCAGATCAAGTTCCCCAATTAGCAAACCTCACGCTATGTTCCGGTTGAAACTGTATAGGTGTATCGCCACGGCTCAGAGACAAGAGAAGGCGATCTTTGATGTTGAAAACCAAGCCGGGTCAAGAATATTTAGGGCAGCTGCTGACCCCAATGCTAATGAAACACTGGAAATGACAGGCTGAAGGGAAGAGTCTATAAATATCACTATAGATCTGAACCATACACAGAGAACGATCATCAAACAACTGGACGCATCACTTGACAACGTCGTCATGTGCCGCTTTAACCCCAAGCCTTTCTATTTAATTAAATTGGTTTAAGCTTGGGGGGAAAAAATGAGCTAAAAGTTGTGGCTTGTTGGTAAATAACGAGCAAAAGGTGAGCAGCTCGGCTGGTGAGACGAATCTCTCTCTCAGCCTGCAGGTGTTGATTGCTAGTGTGACTGAACATCCTGAGGTGGTGCTCCTGTTACTAGCAAAGCAGTCAGACGATACGTGGCCACGCTGTTGGTGAGCTCTGAATTCAAACAGAAACCGTTTCCAACAACAACACTGACCAAAGTTTAAGATGACAAATCTCCAACAAGTGTCAGCCGGTCTCTGTGGTACAAACAGGGAACTGGGCGAGACACTGTGCACGTTGGGCCACATCATCACCATCACGTCGATATGCATCCATCCATCATCTCTACACCTTAATCCTCACTTGGGTGGTGGGGGGCTGGAGTCTATCCCAGCTGACTCAGGGTGAAGGCAGGTTCACCTGGACAGGTAACCAGTCTATCACAGGGCTATACTTAGAGACAGACAACTAAGCACACTCACTTTCACACCTATGGACAATTTACAATCACCAATTAACTTCAGCATATTTCTGGACTGTGGGAGGAAGCCAGAGAACCCGGAGAGAACCCACGCTGCACGGGGAGAACATGGAGACTCCACGCAGAAAGATCCTGGGTGTCCTCACCGGGACGCCAACCAGCCACCTTCTAGCTGCGAGGCGATGGTGCTAACCACCGAGACACCTTATATTTTTCAAAAACAGAAGTTCAAACCCAGAAGTCAGATCTTCCTCCAAACAGCCAGATTTATTAACGACTATTTGTGGCCTTGTAAAGAGTCGTATATGATGGAATTTGAAGAAAGGTGCTTTTATTGTGGTTAAGGTTCACATGACGGCTGAAAGTTCCAGAAAATATCCTGTAAGTGACTCTAGTTCAATAGTTTATTACAGCCATCGTCTCATAAGCTGAACTATTTGTTGTCAGCTTTTTTAAACACTTCTTTCTCTAAACTTCTGTTCTCCCTCACAGACGGTGCATCACTGCAGGAAACACCGATTTAGTTCTTCTGGCCTTGTTGTTTTGGTTTCAAAGCGGTGGATTAATTGCATCTCATAAACACTACATGTTAAAAAGCCAAATGATGATGCTCTGCTCTGCTGCAGGGGGAACAGTCAATTAAATCCCTTTAGACTTGCCAACTCGTCTCCCAACATGAATACAAATCAATGACAACAGCTGTATCGTAATTGACTTTGCTGACACTCTAAACAAACCATTACAGAGGACTTTGGAGGCTGGGGGAGGAGATGCAGACTGCCTCATTAACAACATGACCACCAGAACTTCTCAGCACATGCATGACTTGTGCAACTGCATAATCAGTGCACGCAAAACAGCCTGCTGAGGTTTTAACTGAGCGATACAGCAGGCCGTGTTTCGCCATCGCTGCTCAGGGCTCGACTGTGGTTTCCGACTTGAATGAGACAGAACAAACTGCCAGAAAAAACAAAGGCAGCTGACAGAGCATTGTGCGTCAAACAAACCGATTCTGATTTCTAGTCATGTTCGCTCAGAGCACTACTGAAGCAACTACAATGAGAACAACTTAGAGGACAACTATAATGGTTTCAAAAGAACACGGCTCTATTGTCGAAGGACCGCAGGTGAAGCAGACGGGCCCCTCGTCGCTCCAGGAGTCAAACATGCACTCCAGCTGACACAGGAATGACAACGGTCACATGAAGCTCCACTGAACCCGACACTCCGGGTAGCTCACATAGCAGCGTGAAAGACAGTGTAAGACAAATGGCCACAGGAAACACTACCTCAGGCTAGCTGTTAAAAAAAAAAAAAAACAACAACAAAAACTCAACACAAAAAGAAAAAATAGAAAGCAAACCGGAGCAGAATACAACACAAACATGACCAGTGATGACAGGCAGCTCTGAATCAGTCATATAATAGGGGCTGAACAGGTAAAACAGAAGAGCACAGACCTCCTGGATGTGGCCACCATCTGGTGGACGTGCATGCAGCAGCTGGTTAAACCCAGCTCCCCACATTTACAAGCACCTCAGACACATACCTTCTACAGAAGGGCCAACTGGTCTCAAAAAGCATTTGTTGAAGTCGTGACTCGATAATCCGACCCTTAACAATCCTAAACCTTGCTATCCGACAGGTTTTTAGGAAAAACCAACAGAACCCATAAAAACAGCCTTAACATAGCGACAGCCTTGGATTCTGACTCCGACGTGACATTTGATGTCACCAATCAGGATAACGGCGTATTATCTGACTGAACAATCCCACAGATTGGCTACGTTCACACTGCAGGACTTGATGCTCAATGAGGATTTCTTTGTGAGTTCCTTCACGTTTCCAGTTCAATGCGACTTGTATGTGATCTGCTGTGTGAACTTCATACGACCCAAAAGTGTCCCGCATGCGCAGAAGAGGACACGACGACGTCACACGCAGCGAGCGTGCTCAGTGTTTACGGAAGTAAACATGGATGGTAACGGTGGAGCGTATCTGCCACTCCCCCGCCGCCACCGATGGTGGAAACACAAGTGTGAGCGCTAATTAAACTAGCATCAGCAGCCAAGTACTGCCTGTGTGTTCCGGAAACTTCCACCCCGTCAGAGCACTGCCCCGGGGTGGAAGTGTCCCCCGACCGCACCGAATATTCTGATATTCATCATTAATTGGGCCTGAACATCCAGAGAGCAGAAAGTGCTATTGGGACCAGCCCTACTAGTTATTATAACAACTCTGAACAATAATTAACAACTAATAAGCCTTCCAGCATCAAGCCCTCCTTGTATCTGGACCTCCGCCTGGACAATCCGACAGCCTTGTTATACGACATAGAAGAAGGTTTGACATCTAGTGTCGGATCATCGAGTCACGACTGTACTTAAAAAGACCCTATTTCTAATCAATAACACTCCCCCCAGATCTCATCCTACCATCATATCTCAGAACATCAACCGCTGTGTTTGCTGCAGGAAGAAGCACTGCTTTACTGTGTGGACATGAGTGCTATCAAGGAATGAATGCATGGTAGCAAAAAAAAAAAAAAAAAAAGGTACAGGATTACATCAGCCCATTAATGATGTATATGATGAGCAGAACATGAGCCTCTCTACTCCATGTGTCTCTACAGTCAAGTCAAGAGTAAAGAAGAGAGATTATTCAGGTTTGATCCTCTCAGTGAGACAGCATAGCTTAGCTGACCAGGGTAGAGGGCAGTAGACCATCCACATGTTCATCTTTCCCCTCTGACCCTGTTTAAGCCAAACATCTGGCACCAGAGCCCTGCAGAAAGCCAATACTTTGCACTCCTTTGTTGTGCTGTTGAAGGAAAAAAAAACAAACAAACAAGCTCTATCCTTTTCACTGTCCTCAACCTTTAAACGCAGCATTAAAAACACACAGCATGCAGTTCTAACCCCATACAGGTGACAGCACAGAGCTGAAAACATCTCAGTTCACAGCTTGGAATTAAAACTGAATTTTCTAGAAAATGTGTTGCAACAGAAGACTGGAGCCCGGTTACGCAGAGACCTTGGCTTTGAGAAATCGCTGTGATGTTGGACGTCAGCCGAGGTCATCTGTTGATCAAGTGCTTTGTCAGTGATGCAACACACAAAGAGAGGAAGTTTTTTCTTTTTTTTCCAAACATTGAGGAGGATTATTTACTTTACAAAGTTCACTTACGTGGCGAAAAAAAAAAGGAAGAAAGCAGCCAATATGATCTATGTATCTTACAGCACACATGAATTTACGACAGGCAGTTTGCAACGGCCGCCACAGAACCAAAAAAATAAAAAATGACCACAGTGCGTCACAAACCACAAGGCAGAGTGGCACAACGGGGTCAACGGTAAAGACAGTTAGACATGACAAAGCCGACAGCGATCCGTGCACACAGGACGGGACGAGACCTTTCGACTGTGAGGTTTTGCAAGACCAAAAACAAACACGGAGCGGCTGAAAGAACGGGGGGCAAGACAAAACTTTATTCACACCGTATGGAGAACCTGAGCAAACTGATTCATACACAGATTTCACAAGGACAATACCTGCTGCCATGACTTATCACGCGCCGTGGCGGTGTCTGTGCTAGCTTGGTAGCCCTGTTAGACGGCAGCATCTCAACGCAGGGCTGCACTAACGCCACATTTACCAAATCCACATAGTTTATTTTCCATGACGAGAGTTTTCTATGAGTAGAGCACGCATTTTAGACATCACTACTGTAACTGATCATTTAATTTAGAGAAGAGTCATTAATATTTAACAAATGATGCAGCCCTGTCTGACTGTACTGTCTTCTGGCTTTCACAGGTAAACACCATACTCCAACATGACAGGTCACAGATAGACAATAGACACTGACAACAAAAGGCACCTGGGATGTAGGAAAAAGGAAATCTGAAGCCCTTTGCTCATCACATTACTCTGAACAGAACTGCCAGAGAACGGTTTAAAAACGACACCAAGGAAAGCTAGCAGTTCTCTCTCATGCTACACAATGATTATCCAAATGGCTTAAACATTTAAGGAGAGAGGTAAAGAGCTGAATGGAGCAACAACGACAACCTTGAAGACAACAGTAGAGCCGGTACAGCGGATAGAGAGCTGTGAACTAATTGGGCCACACAGGCAGCAGCTGAGACAAAGCGGACTTGACAGGAACAGGCACATTCTTCTGTCAGCCTCACATTAATCCAAACTGGTGAGGTCGACGATGAAAAGCTATTTAATCTCCAGTCCCAGTGCAAAACTTTACATTACATGAAGGACACAGCACAAGGCAGATCAGCTTTACACTTTAAACAGCGTGTTGTCCCTCAGCTGGACTCTTAATCTGCTGACATGTTTGTTTCCTGCGCCAAACACTTCTTCCTGAGAATGTTTTCCTAATAACACTATATGTAGGACACATGGGCAGGAATGGGTTTTTTTACATTTTTAAAGAGAAATCTTCTAGCTCCCTCTGCTGGACAGTGAACAGCTGCTTCAGGAAGGCCGCGCAGTGTGACACAGTCGTCCCATTTCCATCACCAGCTCGGACCAGTTGACTCTGAACACCTCATAGAAACGCTCGATAAGGAGCCACGCTGTAAGAGATGAAATCATCCACGGTCTGAACCACAGCGTCTCTAAAAATGGCCTCGGAAACTCAGAACGGACATCACACTGAGTCACGGCCCACACCCAGACACACCAGCGGTGCTCTTAAGTGGAAAGTGGAAGACGTGCGTTCTCAGTGTGTTATAAGTGAAACTCATTCACAGTTTGAGCATTAGAATTTCATCACTGAAGCGTGGAAATCTTTAAATGTCATTTCCTCCTAATTACCAAAGCAGATGAGAAAATAAGTAGGTCGGTTAAGTCTGAGAGGGCTTTACCGGTTCTGGTCGACACAAAGGTTTCTGCCTGTAGCCGAGGTAGCAGTGGGCCGTCCACAGATTCCCATCTGTGAAACAACCCACTGCTGCGACACTGAAGATCTGATTAAAGCGCCCCACAACATCTGGTGCCCCGGTAACGTGAACGAGAAGCTAACTTCATAACAGAGACACACAGGTTCTGAGACACCGACGCGCAGCTCGACATACTAGCTGTTCAGCAGAGCGTCCACAAAATTAAAACAGACAGACGGGTAACTGGCAAGTCAGTACAGAGAAGCAGACAGTAAAAACAGGCAGATCTCAGACATACTTGCTCAATAAAAACAGATAAAACACACGCTGGGTTCCACAGGGACTATGAAATATGGATGACGAGGTGATGGAGAAAAGTCGGAGTCATTCACACCGGAAACGTCACTTACGTGGCTTCTGGCCCCACACGTGCAGATGCAGCTTCCCGGAGGAGTAGTAGATAAAGCCCAGGACCAGCATGGGGCACAGGACGAACAGCAGCTTGTGTGCAGGCTTCATGGTCTTCAGTCATTCACATCGCACCATCCAGGTCATCACCTGCGATGGTCAGAGGGGAGTGGGAGGCGTCATTTACTCAAAGTGAAATTCATCCGTCAGCAGCAGAAACACAAGACTGACAGTCAGGTGATGGCAACAGAGGGGAGAGCCAAAACTAAAGACAGGTAAAAGGACAACACACATGTAAACAGGATAAAACATAATGTAGGCTAAACATGTGGAGTGGAAGGCAGCTGATTCCACCGAGGCCTCCACCCTCAGCATCAGCCCTCTCTAAGGACTCTGTAATCCTGTGTGGAGGATCGTGTCCACGGGCAATTTAATAATTACAACATTAGCTCTGCTCTTAATTTTTTGCGGGGAACCCTGACAGATAGCTCGAGTACAGGAAGCGAGTCTGTCTGTGGCCATTTTGTTTTGATGACACTGTGGACATGCCTCTGAGAGTCGATGATGCTAAACTGTTGCTCCGTTTGCCAAGCATTCATTAAACACCCTTCACCACAAAGAGCAAGTACACAGGAAACCACACCCCAACTGCTGCTGAGAGCACGGCCGCGTTCAGATAAAAGTAGTGCTCTGCACTCATTGTTGTTGCATCATTCAGTTAACGGTGAAACGACATTACCGCTCAATTTAGCAAATCTTCAGTTAACCTCAATCGAACCGCCTCTGGCACACATTATTTGGGGATGAACTGCCACATAATAAACCTGCAAAACATGACAGAGCACGCGGTGACTCATGTCCAGCGTAGACGTCACCTGACAGAAGACACTACAGCCCGTTGCTCATGAGCGTGTGCGCGGCCCGGCCTGCATCACCAACCAAACTCTGTCACTTTCAACGCCAGGCACATTTTGATTTTAACGCAATCTGAAAGACAACAAGCTGCGCAGAACCTTTTAGAAGTGACTTAAAACGTTGGAATCAAACTCCATCTAGGGCACTGCTGTTTCATCCTGAGAACCGCTGAAGGCAAATGCAAATGGGGGAGAATAAAGCTAAGGCACGGGGAGGTGTCTGAGCAGGGCTAAGCTCAGATAAGACCGTAATAGCTCTGCAGAAACCGTGCATTTCAAAAGTTGGTAATCCCTGTGGGGCAACAGATGTTATCTTCCTCTACTTTGAGAACGCAAGCATCAACCTGTGCAGTAAGAGCCTGTTGATAGTAAATGGACCGCCTCGCATTAAACTCATTACATCAGTAGTTCTATTAATAAAAGTTAGCTGACAAACAGCCAGGCAGCTCACAGTCTAGAAAAGAATAGAATAGAATAGAATAGAACAGAATAGAATAGAATAGAATAGTCACTTTATTGTCAAACAGAATAGTTGGTGCACATCCTGGCTGAAATTTCGATGCACAAACTCGCCATCGGACTGGTAAATCCATCCATCCA